TTAATGAAGTTACTACCACTGATGTGACTGCTACCGATAACGGGACATTTCCTGATGGAGCAGATGAATCCCACATAAAGCAGAAGCCAATGAGACGGAGACCAGTACGAAAGAAGAAACATCCTGCAAAATTAAGAGACTTTGTTGTATTTTAATTTTGTGTTTGTAAATTCTGAACATTTAATTAAGTTATTATTAATTATCTATTGGTTTAATGTAAGTGGCTATTGTTCGGGACGAACAATACTAAGGAAGGGGCAGTGTTACGACAGCGGAATTCACGTGACGCTGTTGGCGCGTTTGGCGCTGGTAGCGTACGTGAAATTTTGCGAATGATCATGAATGATCGGGGAGGCCCGAGTGCATTCGAGACGCCCTCTTTGTTGGTATATAAACCTGGCAGAGAAGCCAGCCATATATAGATAATTAAAGAAGCGAACAGTAGTGATGGTAAGTAAAGTGTGTGAGTCACTGTGATTTATAGCGTGTATTTCAACTGGAAATTATCAAACAAGCAGATACTTAACACCTAATATGAAAAAAGATTATGCATAAACACTATCAATTCCCTTTACAATCTTAAACACCTCAATCAGATCCCCTCTAACTCTTCTTTTTTCAAGAGAAAACAATTTCAGATATTTTAAATTATGATAACCCACATGCATTTGTTATAATTAAACTCTATTTGCCCAACTCACTAAATGATCTAAATCTTTGGCAAAACAGCAGCATCCTCTTCACAGCTAGTAGCACCCAATACCTTAATATCATCAGCAAATGTAAGTAATTTCTTGGTCATTCTTTTATCTATGTCAAAAAGAGCAAAGGTTCTAAGACTGAGCCCTAAGGTACTCCACTTGTGACATTAATTCATTTTGACTGAACTCCATTTATAATAAACTCTGCCTTCTTCTATCCAATTAGCTAACTTATCCTCCACATCTAAAGAGATAATTTTTATTTTGAAATATAATATTTTGACTTAAACAGTAGGTTATATAAACCTTGTTTTTTGTATAGCGAAAAAAACTTTCATTTAGTCATGTTAACAGTATATGTATTTTACATCTTTTGTAAGTACACGTGATATTTTTGATGTTGTGAGCTTTTATGGTAAGTAATTTGCTTTATCCCACTTATGTATTTCTTTCGTTTCTTATATAGTTAACTTGAGAAAGAATATATTTTGTGCACAAATATCAAAATTACACACTTAATGCAGTACTGAATAAAAATTTCAATCATTAAAAACTCACCAGGTGTTCTCTTGACAAGAAAGAATAAATACCAAAGGTTAAAAACAATATTCAGTTGTATGAAGAAGAAGTCACTGGGAAAGAGAGGATTCTAATTAAATGAGCATCCACCCAGGAAGGAACTAAAGCTGCCAAGTAACTACTTGCATAGTGCATTCATCTTTGTTAAACCTTGGGAATATCTGGTATACAGAACAGTAAACTCATCTTTGTTAAACCATGGGAATATCTGGTATACAGAACAGTAAACTCATCTTTGTTAAACCATGGGAACAGTGTACTCATCTTTGTTAAACCATGAGAATATCTGGTATACAGAACAGTAAACTCATCTTTGTTAAACCATGGGGATATCTGGTATACAGAACAGTAAACTCATCTTTGTTAAACCATGGGATATCTGGTATACAGAACAGTAAACTCATCTTTGTTAAACCATGGGAATATCTGGTATACAGAAAGTAAAC